AAATAGTCTAATTTTATTCGCTGATAATATAATGTTCAAAAGGGGAGAAAAGCTGGAAAAGTACTTTGTTCATAGTCCCTTTGCCAACTCTCACATGTATTAATCCATATATAGAGCTTCTTAATAAAGATCTTTGATTTTACCAATTTGTATCTGACAGATGGAAAGTTACATATTGGTTTTCTTGCAAATTACGTACTCCATTGATGATCTGCCTACTTCATGGGGCAGCTGCATTGACTTTAATGCTAGCCAGCACTTTGAATCATCTATGGGATGAGCTTGAGCTGTCCAACTCCGTGAAAATCATACCCCCTGTGTACTCTTTCTACTTAGCTGGCGGAGAGCTTCTCATGATTAGGTAGCTGTTCCAAAGCAACAGTTGCCATTAAAGTCAAACGTTTTGCTCAGAAATGCAAGCAGGATGTCCCTTTAGTTTCTGTACTAATGTGTCTCTGGAGGGAAATGGGGAGGTAATATTTTTCTCTGCATCACTGTATGAATACTGGTCAAAATCTAGAATCATTCAGTGCAAAGTACTGCATAAGGTTATTTCTGGATTTGAGAGAGAGCTGGGATTTTAACTTGGGCAAAATGTACCCTCACACCACATTAAGTGCAACAGTGTTCAAGTAAAATTAAACTTTTGTCTATTAAGCATTTGAATTCAAAATACTGGTATTCATACCTTTATTCTTAATTTTTTTATGTTCGACCATTTAAGAGGAATGAAACACTTTGTGATACAATATGGAACAGCTAAATGTAAAGTAAAGGTTCTTTTACTCAGCCTCAGAAGAGCATCCTCTGGTATAGGAAAAATGAATCTTGACACTATCTACACCAGCTGTCCTTATTGTCTCTCCGAATGAGATTGCCAACTTGTGGGCAGTTTTATGCTGTAGGCTTGTGCTAAAATAGCAATTGGATTTTGATTGCACAGTCATTTCAAATGGGATTATTCCTGTAAGCAAAGAGGGATACTTTCAGTCCATTGTTCTGAGCTAAATTTAAAGCTGGGCCCAGGATGGAAAGACATTGTGCTAACCCAGTGAATATTGCAGTTCATGTTATCAGTTTTATTTAACAATAAAATAAGTTATGCATTTTCCTTATTTTTGAATAAACGTTGAAATGTAATACTCAAGATTAAAACTCAATTACAATATTTGCATAATTAATTTTACTAATTTTACTGTAATAATTGGAATTCAACATTCAGTTGTGAAATATTTGGCAAGTTGTAGTATTGTTGATGTTTATATAAATGTATGTTTTTGTGCAACAACTTGTCCACTCTGAGGATTTTTTAGAGGTTTTTATTTGATGAGCTCATAGTCTTGTTTGTTTTGGTCTAAAAATCGCTACATATTTCTCAGTGTCTCAAGGTTCTCGGAACAAATTCTGTTGTGAAGAAGCCTGTGGAAAACACTGCAAATCCTGTAGGATTTCCTGCAAAAGGTGCCTTTTAGCAAACTGGTCCTTGAATAGATGTGAGCAGGTGTACTAAAATGTATTCAACAAAGAAGTGTTTGCAATCAGTGGCTGTGCCAGAACATGTGTTTAAAGCATTTGAATTTTTAGACAAATACACTAAAGGGTCCATAAAATAACCATTTACTTTCTGCTCGACAATTGGCAGAATACGGTCTATATGGCACAAAGCTATGACCAGTATTTTCTGTGGAAACAAAACATGTTAATCATCATTTGTTATCCAGCAGTCGGGAGAGAAACCGTTTAGGTTCACCATGGGAAGTGAACATTGAATCTGATTGTTTCAGTATTATTTACACGTTTCCTTTGCAAATTTTTGTTAAGTGTTTGGATTTCCTCTCAGTCTCTTTGAATTATTCCAGATGTAGGCTGCATTCAAGTGACTCTTTCCCTAATCTTTTTTTTAGGGGGTGGGGAGAGAAAATATTCAACCTACGTTGTAGCAGAGAAATCAAATGAGCAAACGGAGTTCTCAATTGTGTGTTTGGCATGTCTCCATTCAGAACCAACACAGATGGTTCTGTTGTTGCAGCAGAGGCAGAAATACTACATTAATGTTTAAAGGGATTAAAAATCCTCTTGGCAGTAGTGGCATATGTTACCACTTAATTGTTGCATTAGATGCTTCCCCTGCTGTTACAAAACCTGTAGTCACTTTGTCTGCTTCTTATAAAGTATTGAAAGTCTTTCATGTTCAAACCAAGCTTTCAAAAAACTTTGGTCAGATTTTTGAGTGTTTTCCTACTGTTTTCATCATATGTTAACTGTCTGTTATATTGCTTTGTAGTATAAGGAAACATTCATATTGCATGATACTGGAACACATGAAGAAATCCACTTGACCTACATTTGTAGTGGGCAGAGCTTTTAAGAGTTCTAGTCTGAACTGGTCCACTGTGTGTGTATGTGTGTTGGCAAAGGAAGGTTCTATCACATTTATTTCAGTTCTTCCTATCATTGTATTTTCAAATTTCAGAAATGCAAAGAAATGCAATTCACTGTCCTGCAGCAGATTTGACAATATTAACCTGATAAATATGGTCATGATTTTATGGTGTTAGTATTCAATTCTTGCCTATTGAATGCAAGAATACAAAGGAAACTTGATACATAATGTTAGTTTTCCAAATGTAAAACAAGGTTATTCCCTAGTTTCATTATCATTTGGTGTATTTTATGAATGAAAGTACTGTCATTTCTTTAAACACTAAAAGTTAAGTAGTTTTTCACTGTAAAGGTTAATGTATCCATTTTGTTCTCTCCCACTGAAAATAATCATAATATGTTGGGAAAGGCTTTTTTATTACAACTTGGCTAGTGTGACATTTATGTGGGAAAGAAATGTGAATAATATTTCACACTAGAGGGACAAAAGTGAATGTGAAGTAATCCTTTACTTGGAAATCTCTATTTAGTCTGTAAAAATATGTAAAGTCAACCTATTGCTGAAATTCTGAGTTCTGATAAAGAGTCTAATCCGCAAACTTAACTAGTTTTCTCTTACAGATGCAGACTAACTTGCTCTTTTTTGTTTTATAATCACAATCTACATGTGATACTGTATTAATAATCCATTGAATCACAAAACTGCATTCAGCATCTATTTTAATCCCAAAATTAAACATCCCAACTACCTAAATTGCATTGCACCAAGCCTGCAAATTAAATTTCACAAGTGAACCTATAGAATTATTGATAGATTTATGAACCAAACAGGATGGGTATATAGATATATTCCTTGGAAATTCAACTGATGTTCCAAAGTTAGCATTCTTATCAAAGTCCTATTGAAGTTGGAAGTTTGCAAAGTTCCTCATGATGTAATACAACAAGACCGGCCAGCAGATTCTCTAAATAATGTTAGTACTTTATTCAATCAAAACAACATCGATAAGCTGTTATCTCCTACATACAACCGGGACACGTAATTCGGACAAGGGCGATCAAATCCTTCGGGAGGGATGGTGACTGGATTAGCATATGTCGATCATGTGTTGATGGATGATCTTTCTCCTTCACTGGCAGAGGTGTCTTGCTTTTCTATTGATGTATTGTGTTTACCACTTTTATACTGTATTCTCATACCAGCCCTGACCAAGTCTTGGTTTTGAACAGACACTGCTCATGACCAGTTTGTGCTGTCTTTTGTTATTTTTTTCCATTTTTAGCCTCTTTGCATTCCTTCAGGTCTCCTTAATCACTGTTTTCACATCCCTTAATCAAAGACCCCTTGCTCATTCTACGTCCATAAACCATCACAATAACGTTCTCTTTACTCAAGGCTGAAGATCACGCAGATTGCAGAATAACTCCCCAAAGTGTTTCTCTGTTAGTTCTTTCTCACGAAAAACCAACCTGCAGCTGTACCTTCTATTTTTGTCAGGATGCACAATGTGTGAGCACAAAAGTGCTGCTAAAAAGCCCACCAGTGAGCTGAAGGTCTGTCTTGCCCTTTCATGCAAGTTAAGGAATGTTCAGACTCCTGCTTTCAGCATAAAAATGTGTATTTGTCAATCAGATGTTTACAATCCAATAATTTGGAAGATTCATTCCAGAAAGCAGAGTTCCCAGCATTAGAAAGTATTAATTATACAAGATGTACTAAAGAAATACATTGCCTGAAACACCTTTTGAAGAATGCTCTCAAAATAAATCTCTGTAGAATTTTGCAGTGATCTGATCTATGTCTTAAACATCATTTGGTTGACAGAAGAAATAGAACAGAATATGATATTCAGTTTCTCTTAAGGATGCAGTAACTCTCAACACAGACTGTTCGCAAAACAAAGTTATCTTATTCATAGTTCAGTCATTTTGATTAGCCACGATTTGTCTTGACTAAAAAGTCCAGTGTTTGTTTCAAGTATAATGTATCATTGCTGCTGACCAGATTGTAGAATTGACTCGTCCTTTGTTGACTTGAAAATATGCTCAAGATGTATCCGAATTAAGTTTGCCTTGAAATATTGATGGGGCTGTATGTCTGGAATACCTGAATGAGTATGCTTTACAAAATCCTTTAGAGAAAGGACTGATTCTGTATATACAAGGAAAGATAAAGGTCCACAGAGGTGTGGTGGGCAGAAGTATTGGCTTTACAAAATTGTGAACACATTCACTCCCCTCCAACTCATTTTCTCCCCCTTCTTCTTCTACATACCCAAGTAAAATATATTTGGATGGATTGAGAACCCCAATGGATGTTTTGCCCAGAGGACAATTTGTTTGTATTCTTTGAACAGTTATATCGGTTAAGGGAAATTAGTGATATCTTCAGTATGAAATGAATGTTCACCATGTATTAGTATTTGATTAGTTTAATCTATGGATTCTCAAATGCGCCTCACCAGTGATGTATATAAGGTTACAATAACTTCTTTGGACTTCTAAAAATAATCGGTATTTGCTATTCTTTTACGTCTCTGTGTGCTAAATAGCAATTTGATCTAAATTTTTGCTTTAAGAGATATTAAATTCTCAGATGTATGTGTTTGTTTTTACAGTGGCCGGGCTCATTTATTCCTCCCTTTTTTCTACTATCGTTTCCTGACCTTACGCTATGGCTCCCGCAGAAATCCCTACTGCAGGTAGGTGCAACATTCACACATTTTACTGATTTGTTTTTAACACAGCGATGGTTGCAACCAGGCTTAGGTAATAGAATTCATCTGAGAATTTTAATCCAACATTAATTTAATATATACACAGATATTTAGCTTGATCATTTTGGTAAAGAACCCAAATTGTATTGTGTATTTGTTGTGAAATGTTGTAGAACACATTTCTGGATGCATATTAACTTAACATCATATGATTTTGCTATGGGTAAATATTTCATGGAATATTACAAACTGAAATATCTGATTAAATTTAACTATCAGTGTCTAGTATAATTGCTTCCAGCAAGAATGAAGTTGATTTTTTTTNAATCTGGAGGGGAATAAAGATACTGGGGTAACAAGTCAGTCTCGGTAGTGGTAACTGAGCCAGTGGGATCTGCCATACTCCAGGGCACTGCAGAAGACAAACCAGCTCGCCTGTCTCATTGGCAGGGCTTGGAGAGGCAGACTGGTCGCTGAGGACTGGGATTCTTCCTTCTCAGATCCTGTTAACCCCTCAAGCCTAACTTATAGGTTTGTCCCAGCTGCACAAGCAGTAGGAAGTGTCCCAGACAATACTTTCATTGGTAACCAATGTAATTCCAGCTGTTAAACTCCATCAATATCCCAAACCTTTGTCCTCGCCAACCTGTGCCTAATGCTCTCCAGAATTAAGAAAGCAGAGTGCATTCCCCCAGGGAGTGAGTTTTCCATTCCAAACATGGGAATTTCCATGTACAGGTGGAATGCCTGGAACCCTGTTTGGTATGGATACTCTTTCAAGATGGTGATATATTCTGGTGTGAGTAGGGAACTAGATATTGAAGAATCATCTGTGGAAGTTGAAAAACTATTTTCCTTGGTAGTCTGTGAACTATATTTGAACTGTACATTTTTATAATAAGACTGTTCCAGAAGAGAGAACCAATAATTTATTTACTTCATTGGCAACAAACGATTATGGACATGGAACGCTGTTCGTGCCCTTTGGAAAGCTTTACTAGCTATTATTGACAAGCCTATTGTTGAATATTATGAATGCTAGTGTAATATTTATGATTACATTAATAAAATAAAATTATGCAACTTCAGAAGATTGTTATGAAGAATGACTCACAAAAGGTTAATTTCAGTGAAAAACCAACTGTGAAGGATTGAGATCCAGGTCTTTAAAGTGCAGAGGGTCACAGATAATACCAATGTAAGCAGGTCACTTAACCTGAACCATATGTGGAGAACTGAAGAATATGAGTGATGAGCCTCAAGCAAGATTGCACAGCACAAGTCATTCTCTTCCCCCTATCCCTCCACAGAATAGGGAAAACTTAAAGGAATGGAAGTAATGCCATTTTAATTCCCTATTTAGATTTGAAAGCTATGAAAGTAAGTATAGACAGAGATGATCAATCATGGTTTAGAATTCAATGGTCCCTGACCTGCTAAGACCTTGGAATGCAAATTTTCAAATATGAATAACGCAGGTTGTAGGGGCTTAGTTATTCTTGATGATGTTTTGGTGCCGATGGGGAGGGAGAGACAGGGAGAAACTTTATAGGACCTTCTCTCAAGAGATTGAATAATACAGGAAATGGCATAGTCTGCAGAATGTCGATGGAGTGAATGGCCTTTTATCATTCCATGCTTTATCAGTAATGTTGCATTTGCCCTTTAATCATTGAATTAAAAACACTTCAGAACAGAAGAAGGTCATTCATTTAGCCCAACATACCTATACTGGTGAGTTTGATGGGTGATTGCTTATAAGTAACTGCTGCTTCCACTCAAGCTCAGATGCACGGACACCATGTTTCAGCAACATACAGTTCTGGTCATTGTGTCCAGAAAAGGGGTTGCCCAGACCATAGAGACATGCAGAGGAGAACAACGAGGATCATCCCCAGTGTTAGAGGAATGAGCTATGAGCAACGATTAGACAAGCTAGGGCTCCTCAGTCTTGAAAGGAGGCAAACAGAACCTTATAGAGGTATTTAGAATTTGAAAGGGGGTTGAAAAGGAAATTCAAAGATGCAAAGTTAGAGTTGCAAAGTTAGAGTTGCAAAGGGCAATTTCAGGACAAACACCAGGAAATATTTCTTTGCTAAACTATGCCTGCATATGAATGATGTGAGCAGTTTTGTAAAATATTAATAATTATTTTAACTACTGTGTGAAGTAAATCTAACATCTTTAAACTTCATGTTGAGTACACATTTGGAATAAGACGTATTACTTGAACACCAGTGCTCATTAAAAGCTTCTCCCCTTTCTCTGCTTCAGTCAGAACTCTCTTTGTCATTGTAAATGTAAATGGTCACAAATCTCACTGAACCATCCTAATTTAAGGGACGTGAAATGAAGGCATGCGTTAGTTTAAATATATTTATTTATTCCCTCGGTACAATTTACAAAATATTTAAGATTTTCTTCATTACTAATTCTGATCGAAACTATTTATAATCAGTGAATTCTCTCATTGACTGGAGTAGAGAGAATGCAATACACAGAAGAACAAAAGGTGTAGAAACTCAACTGTCAGAGCTAATAGAATTGAGATTATACGAATGGAGCCAAAGTCAATGTACTGTGTAATGTGTACTGATGCACCTTGTCAGCCAATCAGAATTAAACAATAGTCCAGGGTGCAATCAAATTTTCATTAAGTGTCAAAAAATGTCTTTCTAACCCAATTGCCTGAGCTGAAATTACCAAGGGCTTCAACAACTCCTACTGTCTTGTTGCTTTGAGTGCCTGCATCCACCGCTGCCCATCTGCCTATTGATTGGTAGGAAGCCCAGAATGGGAATTCCGTCTCATTAATCATGTCACAGAATAGGGATTAAGACAAGTCTTTGGTTTAAGCTTCACAGCATCTGACCATAGCCCATCAGTGCAGTTGATAGCTGATGATATGCAAAGAATGCCTCAAGCCCCACGGGGTCATCTGACAACAAAACTTTGGAAAACCTTTCCTTCAGAACTTGGCAAATGGATTTCGAAAGCATTGTTTTCAGCAAGAATGATCAAATTGGGAAAGTGCATTAAAATAACATCGCTTTTGTCAATGTACTGTTGGCCAGATAAAAGTTGTATTTCTATTTATCATTTTTATTAACTATACTGTCTGGGTCAGCCTGAAGTATTTGCCAAACCTTACAAATATAATTGGTTTTATTTTTGTACTTCAACATGAAAATCCTTTCCGAAAAGGAAAAGGATAAATAGTTCAACCAGAAGTTACATGTAATGTAACCAAAGCACCTAAACTGACAGGACAGTGTTCTCGTTCACGAGGGAGAGTTGCGAACATCTGTTAATTATTTTTTTTCATTGGAACAAAGGGAAAACTGAATCTAATCAAATGTTGTGTGTTTTTGGCATGTTAGCACCACTGTAATGCAGATAGTTAACTGATGGTTACTGCATGCATAGCTCACACAACCTCTTGGGATTTTTGCATAATGTTTTGTAGCCCATGTACTTATTCAGAGTTTTAATACCTTACTTTCTCTTCTCCCCCTCCCCACACACACTGCTCTTTCACCAGAATCTTTCCTTTGTTAGCCTGAATTTAGACATGACTGCAAAAGTTTTAAAATCGAAAAAAAGGAAACAGTGGAAAATAAATGCGAATGGAAAAAGCTAATGAATGAAAATTAATTGGGTATTTGGTGGTAATAGGCTTAGTTTAATCTAATGTTGTCTGAAAAATTTTCATGCCGTACATGTTCTTGTGTTTAAATAGTCTTGGGTACTTTCAATAGCTTTCAAATGCAACGACTATTATATATTTTTTAAATTGTCTGATTTTATTTTAATTAGTATTTTGAAATATGGTTGGTTGCATGATATTAGCAGTTTGAAAAATCAAAGCAATAAATACACCTTGATTTTTTTCTCAAATCTGCGTTTTTTATTGATCGACCCTTTCATGGGGCAATGAATCCTTTGATTGCATTCCAATTTCAAGCACTATTAATGTGTTTCTTGGACATGCCATTGGAAATTCTCAGGATTATTATAGCAGGGATTCGGGGGTACCAGTAATAAAATAAATCAATTAATGGAAAAACGAGTACTGAATATCAGACAAGAGTGCCTGTAATGTTAAAACATGTTTGTTTTGTCTTATTCTGCAAACATGCTTTAAGATAGACATCTAATTGCCAGTGTGGTGAGGCTGATAATTTTACATTGTAAAATACATTGTATTTTTATGTTAACACATCAGTGGATGATTTGTTGATTTTAGTGATGAATGCATTTCAGTTCATTTTTAACCCTCGGTTTACATTGAGCGTTTCATACCAATTTGTCAAGAATCAGTGGTTTTGCTTTTTAGCTGAGAAGAGGATGCAAGCTTTAATGTAGAGTACAGCTATGAATGACCTAACAGTTTACATATAGTTTATAATAATAATAATCCTTGCATTTGATAAAGCGTTTTATCATGTCTTTAAGACATCTCAAAGCGCTTCACAGAATATACTGTGAAGTGAATTGAGCTTTTAAGTGAAAGTGCCAAACAAATCCGTAAGCTATTGGTTTAGAGTCAAGAAAACCTATGTGGAATTCTTTGTTTGCACTGAAACAAGAAAAGTAAAGGTCAATTCAGAGTTTAGCTGCCTGAGAAAAACTGCAAATGTATATCAAATGACAAATATTTATTCTGAATGTCTTAAATTGTTTGGTCCATGTATTATCAAAAGGATTAAAGATATGTATCGTGCCTCACTCACTGGTGTATATAGAAATGACATCTGATACAATTATATGACAAATAATTGAGAGTAAATTAACGTTCAGAATGGAAATCTGGTACCAAATTTGAGTTGTAAAGTAAAATCTGATCATTGTCATTGTGAAGTCATAAATTCTTGTACAAGTTCATAATGTATTTATAGATTGCCTTACAATGATTTATTAAGTATTTTAATTTTTCTACATTGATTTGACCAGTACAACTCGCATGACAGCTATTATGCATTAACCAGATGAATAGAGCCCGAGTAGACAGAGCCACTCAGTATAAAGTGGCCACAACTGCGATTTATTGCCTTGCTCTATTCTCATTGTTTTCAACTGCGAACGTGTTGTGTGTTATGATCTGAAGTAGCTAACTGGCTTTCTATCCTTTATTAACAGGACATTGTTTTATGAACTTCGAGTGGCAATAGAACACATGACAGAGAGACCTTCCTGTCCAACCTTCATCAGAAATACATGTCACAAGACGATGAGGTTAATTGGTAAACTTGCACCAAGTTCATAAAAGATGAAACTCTCCTGAGTATCAGATAATCTGCATATGGCGGGCATTCCTCATACTTTAAAATGCCCAGAAACTACCCCTTTGAACAGTAGTGTTTTCATACTTTATCATAGCCCTTTTGTTTTTGTTCTACATTTCTAACTTTTAGTTTTGTTCTCCACTTCTACCAACACTTGGATCATAATTTATATTTTTTTAGTACATGTGTATGCTAGTTTGTGTGTGTTCCATGTTCAATCATAATATGTGTAGTTTCACTTTCACAACAGAAAGTTTACATATAAAATGTGGTCAAAGTGAATTGCAGCTTATTTTTAAAGAGTATGTATTCATCATATGTCTCTCCAAAGGCAAGCTAACCACACACCTTTGCATTTTTTTAATGATGTTTAATGATGTTTGTAATATTTCTTGATCAAATATGGCCAGTAATGGAATTTGACCAAACGTGAGTGATAATTACTAACATGGGTGTTTTTGTTGAAGCACAGCTTGAAGTCAGGCATGTAAAGTTAGTGGAAAAGTTTTGCATTTCTGATTAAGGGTAGGTATAAATATAGTAACTAAATTATTTACTGTATATTGCACAAAAACAAGTTTAAATACTCGAGTTATGGAGATATATTTGCTATCATACAGGTACTACATCTTTATGTTTCAGTTTCTCACATTTGAGAAAATGAAATTGTCACTGGTACACAAAGCATATCCTCAGGAAGGAGCTGATGACTTCAAGTTTATAGCTTATGATAATTTGTCAATTAAAGTTGTTCCTAGCTTTGGCTTTTGTTTGAAAAAGGAACTTCTCAATAGCCACTTTCGTGCAGAAAAAGGATTTCTCAAACGTTATAGACCCGGTAGGGTGAAACCTTGGGCAAGTTTCCTTACTCCACACGCCTGATAATAATCCCTCAAGAAAATAAATAATAATAATTTGGTCACTCAATCCACGACTGTTTGTGGGACCTGCTGTGCACAATTGCCTGCCGTGTTTCACCCACAAAATATACAGTCAATTCACTTTACAGTATATTCTGTGAAGTGCTTTGAGACGTCTAGAAGACATGAAAAGGATTATTATTATGTATTATTCCTAATCCTGCACTTCAGTTAGTTTCCACAGATGCATTTCTTTCTGTGTCACCTTGTGGACAGGTCAGAAGTAGCGTGGACAGAACTGAGAGCAGAATACATCATTGCCATTTTAGTGAGTTACTGAGATGTGATGTTGAGCAATTGGGGGTAAAAAATTAACAATTTACCTTTGTACATAATCAATAGTGGGCTTTGAATGTGTAATTTTGCTTTATACATTCTTGAGTATTTATCACTCCTAAAATAATACTAGACTTTTTTGTTTTTAAAAAGGCGTTATTTATAAGCCTTGAGCTGTAGGTTTTAAACCTCAATAGTTTTAGAGCTTACAAGAAATTACTTAGTAATCATGAAAAATTAAAGGCAATACCTTTTGACATTAACAGTTATGAAAATCAACAGCAGCACCGTTAAATTAAAGCATGTCAGTACCTATACTTAATTTATTTCAAAATTCTGCATTGTTTGTGATTCTGAAGGAAGTTGCTGTGCTGAAAACTTGGACTTTTTTTAATTCAAAGAAACAAATGGGCAGTCATTCAACAAAGGGTATAGAAAGATATTTGCATCCGGAGACTCAAATCGTGACTTCTGCTGGACACTGGAAGCAGAGTTACCTGAGGTTATTTTGACTTGCTTCCAGTGCAGGAGTGTTGTTCGCAAAAATCCATTACAAAATATTGTGTTTTAAATTCCTGTCATGACTCACAGATATCATATTACGTAGAGGATAATCAGCATCATCTTGAATCCTTAAAGGAAGCAGGCTCTATAATTTATGATTGGGCAATGACACTCTTTCTCATTAGTGCTTCGTTGCTCAGTTTCCCCCAAAAATATGCAATAGCTGTCTATTTTTTAAAATAATAATTTTAGTGTTGATAAGCAGGGAGGGGCTTTTGCAGAAAATCTTCTACACGAAAATGTAAGACTTATAAATTTCCTGTATGCCACTTTACATTGATAACTTCTTACTGCTTGTGGCTTACAGGCTGTAAGAGAGGCACTGCTGGAAGCTTCAAGTACAGCATAAGTGCCATACTTACGACCTGAGCAGAAGGATCAGCTATTCTTTTAATACAGCAGCTGATGTATGTGTATCGATTTGTGGAATTATAACACACTTTAGTCCTAAGAATATCAAGTTGTATTGGGAGCTAAGATTGCCCCAGAATTGAAATACTTAATCTCACATATGCTCATCGGGTGGCCAGTTGCTTTTGAAGCAAGTGGAATGGCAGCTCACATTAGACAAATGACACCATTAAACACTCTTAAACACTCATAATAGTCTCATTTTTAAAATTTAATGTGGTACAAACAATAATGAGTGACTGCTTTATAAATATTTTGACCAGAGAGCTGACCATAACTTGTCACTAGCAAATTAGTCATTACACCCTGAAATGAGGTGTTTCATCACCAGCTCTAATAACTATTATCCTTTTGTCTCCTTTAAATGGAGTAGATTGTATGAATGGTCACTGTACCAATGTCCAACATCAAAGATTAGCATCTGGTTAGTAAAAGTAGGTGTATGATAAAGGAAGGGGCGAAAGGATATCTGGCATGAATTCATCTGTGTTTTTATATTTGAATAGGTTTGCTATTTTTGTCTGTTCATCTGCTCACAGGTATGTAATGAAGCATGTAGTTGTAACTAGGCTATACCTCAGCTGGAAAATGTCACATTATATTACGCGTTCCTCAAAAGCATAAATCATGCTCAAGATTTTTTTTTAAACTGTGAAGGTAAGAAGAGAACCAATTGAATGATTCTGAGAATAAACAAGTCCCGGGAAATTGCATAATGTTCTTCAAAATTTTGTTGCATGTTATGGTTGTCGAAAGCTAAGATCTCTGGAGGCTTAAGTATTCATGGCACAAATGTGATTATAAAGATCGTAAGATTATGCAGATGTTCAAAGGGTTCTGGGGAATCTAAGACAGCCTTTATGCTGTGAATTTCACATTTCAATGTTGGAAACAGCTTTGAGAGACCTCTGCAGTAACAAGAAGGTTTTGTTCTTTTCTTCACGTGCATCATCCTTGGTACGTGGCCAATGAACCTGTGTGTTTTAGTATCTGTATAACAAAAATATGTATTAAAATTATTATGTCTGTTACTTTCCTTTATGTGCTCTGCGAATGCATCCAACCTTATCCAGGAATGTTTACCTTCTTAGATGATGTATAATTACTATAAGTTTAAGAGGCGGAAAATGCATAGTAAAAGATCAGACTGCAGAAAGTAATATAAGCCTCTACTTGCTATTTTTATCACTTACAAAGAAGTGCAATATTGTTCTGCTTATCTTTGAACAAATATTTTTGTGACGTGCATTCTATAGTATAATATAAACTAGAAATGTCAAAAAATAAACACATTTCCAGTATTTGGTGACTGTTTTATTTTTCTCTACATGGAAATATTTGATGCTTACAGCGCTGCTTGTAATCTGCATCCTTCACAACTTATCAGAAAGGCATTCTGCAAAATATAAAAGCTGCTGATATGCAGCTGTGATGGGTCTCACAGGATGTCGAGAGTAAACAGAAGGAAGATTCATAATCTTAGAATTCGTGAATGATGCATTCAAACTTACTAATGAAGCTCAACAATATATTATAGAGACTGTTTTGTTAAAGCACTCTGGGATGCTAGTCTGTGTGAGGCACACTATATAAATTGTTGTTAATTTCTACTTGATTGACAGATGATCTTGAACAGAAAGTGATAAAGCAGCTTGGTATGGCTATCAATATTATAGGAAACCTCAGAGCAGATGATCTGGTATTGCCTCTTAGCATTGGTAGATTTGTTTAAAACTTCACTTCTAGGATAATGTGTCTGTCTGTTACAATTCAACCATTGGTTTAATACTCTTTTACACCAACTTAACCCTTTTATTAAGGTATGTTTTAAATCTTATTTGTTTTATGTACAAGATACCTGCTCAAAAACAAGACTGCATGACTTATTACAAATTAACACAGCTTTTAGATGTTTCACATTATTCCAAATATGTGGATAAATTGAATTTATCTGAATCTCAAAATATAATTTGATAACAGTAGTTTCCAGTCAAACAATGTGTATGTTCCCAGTGCTCCTATTTATTTCAGGAAGGTTCCTGCTTAGTTCTTGCTTACCTCAGAAAGGTTGTGTGCTATATACTTCTCTAGGTGCTCAGTTAGCATCCTCTGTGATTGCCCAGCATGAGCCATAATTTGAGTGGAGTGAGATGGATTGCTTTGCTTTTTCAAATACAACTCGATCAGGTAAGCTAAGATCACAAGCAATTTATGACCTGCTTCAGCTGCAACGACACCATCTATTTGTGTATTTTAGCGTAAATTCTCACAGTAATTAGTTGAGATTTCATAGTTGATTGGCAAGCTTTTATCAGAGTAAATATGTGCAGAATTTAGTTGAGCAATTAATTGAACTTTACATTGAAATTTTTCTCAGCTTTTTCTATAAACTTAAGTGAATGTCTCATCTGCAATGGTGAAATATTGTGTGGCCTTTATGCTTAAAAGTGTCTGACATGTCAGATTTCCCACTTAATACACACACAAATTTGGGATCTACAATATAATGGGTAGATTACTCACTTTGCACCATTGAAGAAATTCCCAGTGCTGCCTGATACTGACATTTTCCAGCCAGATACTGTTACAGATGTGTTCCTTCAGTTTGGGCTTATGGTAAGATGCTGTAAAATACTAAAACCATGAAAATGATTGTCTAGAATAGTGGACACCTAAGCCAGTTCCAAACCTCTAATCCAACTGGACCTTTTGGACATCTAAAACAAGCTTGAGAAGTTTTGAAGGCCTTTGTTATTTTGCACAAGATAAAAAAAGTTTTGCCACGTTAAAATGCAATAAAATCATTGACAAATAGTATAGCAGTAGGTGTATGGAAATCTAAATCTATGTTCGTTCAGCATGTCTTTATTATAGGGCCTCCAGTGCACTAACCATCCTCAACACTCATGGGAACTCTGTTCCAAAAGTAGATTGTGTAGGAGCATAATTTCTGAGATCAGTATAAGTCCAGTTGTCTGGGGAAGCTCTCCCATTTTGTTGAAGAATCCTGTAAGAAATCATTGTTTTCAACTGCATTGTATTCATTCTTGGAGTGGTACATTTAATCCTTATGGAGTGCATCATTCCTGCAGAAAGTCTAAGATTTTTTAAACATTTTCATGTTGACAATTTTCAAAACTTGCTTTTGTCTTGCCCATAGTTTCTTCATCATTGATATTCCCTGATTGTTCCATGGACACAGGGGAGCTGAGATGTGTCGGCCAGAGCCCAAGGGGAAAAAACATAAATTTTGCACATGAAATGAATATTCCTGTACTTGTGAAACATCTTTAAGATGTTTTGAAATGATAAGACACTATAAAAATGGGAGTTCTCTTTTATTGACATTGCTGGTAAAGTTGAGAATAAATCGTGTCATCTCTCAAATTTATTAAATCAGTGATCTGTTGGATTCACACCCAATTGCATGCCATCTTTCAAGCTTCCTGCAATTTTGAAATGTAATTGAAGCAACATTTCACTCTATTATGTTTCTTCAAAGTGAACACAAGCTGGCATTGTGCACTCTCCTGTACTCCTATGCTACATTTACTCTTATTTTTGTTGCAACTGCCTGCTTCTATTAGGTTTAGAGCTTAAAGCAATGTTGCCAATGAAACGCAATGTTATAAATTAATAATTTTCCTGAATGAAAAAAAATGTGTATCCGCATCCTTTATTTGTAGAGCAAGAAATCATAATGTAGTTAAGATATTCCAAGTTGGCACAAAATCTGCCGAGAATGTTCAGGTCTCTGAATGAATTCAGTTAATGGACTGGTCCATCCGCAATTTGATTTGAGCATAGTTTGTGCTTCTCTGCAAAATGAGTAAGATTACATGTTAACTCACTTAAATACAGCTTTGTTAGCTCGCTGTTTCATTTGCCCATGTCTGTTTTGTGCTCATTTCTCTTTTAGACTTGAATTGAGATTGTGTTCTGGTAATATCCAGTCCTAATTTGGATTGTGCTTTGAAACGGATCCTTGCTGTGCCAACCATTGTAACCAATACAGATATTTAGAACAGAGCAAACTGGTGACCAAATACTTATGTTACTGGTAAAGTAGGCTTTTAGGAAACACAATATCCAGTGAAATCTTTGTGATATCTTCCGTTTTTCAGTCGAAACAATTGTGCTGTTAATGTTTCATTTGTAAACGCGTAACATGTTAACTCCACTTTCTTTAGAACAAAGGAAGGATGAAGAAATAAAGAACAGCTGCATTTCCTATTCTTTGGAAGTCCTCAGTGATGTAGTCATCGGGTTTTGTAATTGTTTGGTATTAATAATATGGTGTTTGTCTCCACATATGGCCTTGACAGAGGAGCTGGTTTCATTTTGTACTTTAAAGAGCGATAAAAGGGAAATTACTGCTATAATGCAAGGTCCAAGTAGATTTGGGTCGCTGCATTTATACCTGCATTTCTCACTTTTGTAGCTGTACTTTAAAACTTCATATGATTATGAAGAAAATTACAGCAATTTACAACAGCAAAGGAATACTTTTACCACTTTTTTTTAAATTGAATCACATTGTACAAATGCCATGCAGGATCTGGCATTATATATGACCTTTTCTGGTAAAGGGTGGACTTTTACACTCAAGTAAATTGACAGGCTTATTTGATATTCATAATATTTTGGCACAATATACTTCCATATGACTTAAAGGTACACACTGTAGCAATTGCAGAAGCACTGCAATTGTGCATCTGTTAATTCGAACCGGATGGATGAAAAATAGTTGGGCAATTCTGGTTCCAAAAACTTCAAATTATTTTATTATATCCATTTTTATTATCTTATATATGATATTGGATATAATAAAAAGCAAAGTGAAAGTAAATCATGGGATTATTAATAACTACAAGCATAGCAGAAATCAAGTCACACTATAATTTGCTTTGATATATGTGTTGCCAAACTATGTCTGTGTCAACGTAACCTGTCACAACAAATGAGCATTAAAGATTTTGTTGTACAAATAAGCTGGTATTCATTTCATGCGTAAACGCTTAACATCCGCAAGGCCCTCAAAACTGTCTCCATAATAATTTCCAAGCGCTTCCCCACAGTTAAGCACGCCAAGCCTGAAAAAAAATCTGCTCTTTTATCAGTTAGGATGGTGAAACAACAAGCGGCTAGTTTCCTAAATATGTAAATGCCTCTAATTCAGAACTGCCACTAACTGCCAGTGGAATGTGTGGCCTGAATTGCTTTCGTTCGGGACATGTCCGATAGATACAGAATTTTCCCTGTAAAAGAGGAAGAGGAGCAATTCAAATGCAGGTCATGCGAGAGAAGGAGAAACAGATGCTGGCAACCCAGAAGGAGGAGTGGGAGGCAGGGAACATAGAAATGAAGTATTAGCCTCTAGAACTCAGAAATAGAAGTGTTGAGATATTAAAAAAACAAGTACCAATACCACACCCATAATCTCCTTGTTAACTTTATTTACTGCCTATTCAATTTAATTTCATTTTCTTTTAAAAGGAGCCTTATTGCACAGGTTTCAGGTGGTAGAGATGCACCTCCCAGATAAAAAGGAAGATATTGTATCAAACATGTAATCTCTTACCACTGTTGACCAAAGACTGCAACACAATCAGTTTCTTAATCACATGTAAGCAATCACAAATTAAGATTACAACAAAAGACTATGTTGGTTAAATAATGAGAGAGAGAAAATGTACTACGTATAAAGCAAACATATCTTTTCAGTCCTGAAGAAGAAATTAGTGTTTCTGTGGTGAACAAAATATTGATAATTGTTTAAAAATAATTTAATACTATTAAATATTCTCTAACAGATATTGTTGTGAGTGGAGCATTTTTTGCATTTCCCTTGACAGGTCTACACTGCTAAACATTGTACTGCCTGAAGCACAAATAACTACCTCATCTTTATCACCATAACCCGCCCATACATTTTTTAAAAATAATACTCCAGATATACACGAGCCTGACACAAGCAAGTTTTACCAACTTCAGTTTAGTTTAAGACTAACCTGATGTATTACACGCACCTTTTTTTGTCCATCTCCATCTTTTGCGTGTTAAGTCAATTCAGGGTATTTGGAAATAGTGCTCGTATTTAGAGCGCCAGTGGATCTTAAGGATTGCCAATAATGCACTCTGTTGCCAGTAATGCATTCTAAGAGCTGGCCTGAACAGTAAGTAAGAAGTCAACTTATTCCAAGATGAAAGTTGATTGGCCGTATGTATGCAATGCTGGCTCCAGCTCCTGGTGCTCCACATGTGTACTTGTTTTGTTGCATCCCAACAAATCCCATCTTCCGACTGCAATGACCAATGGCACCAAAAGCACTTGAGGGAATGTGCCAGATGCCCTACAGTCATCCAGCCTGCCTTGGCCAAAATATATGGTCGCCTTTGACAGTTAGTGTTTATGTTATTGGAACACGAAGAAGAATCAGCCAACTTTGTTTTAAGCACAAGCACCATCTCTAATTTTGCCGCCAACTCTTGGCTTGTTCTCTGTGGCAAAGCAACAAAGCAATGGTGTACAAAATTAACAGCAAGAGCACTACATAAGCCAGTTTGACTGGCAGTCAAATTTATGGTTGAGGACAGTACTCCATATTTATGATGTAGCTGGAGGAGAACTCTGCAATATCACGTTGAGTAAGGGTAGTTCTAAACTACCTGCTCCCGACCTGTAGTTCCATATAACACAGAAACTGGATAAGAGTCTTGTGCAATTGAAATCCTATCATTTAGGAATGCTGCGGCTATTTTGTTCAATGTATTTCTACTTTAGTCTGAGCAAAAAACACGAATAATGCTTGCATTCGATTATAGTGCCTATAAAGACAAAACAATTCAGTGTTTCACAGGGCATTTTCAAGTACAGTGACTGTTTGTAAGAAACTCCTGTGTTTTTTTTAAAGAAGTGTGATGGCATCTTCAACTTTCAGCTAAACAGGCAGAAAAGGAATACAGCTGTAGCTTGTGTTCTTTTGCAAAACAATGAAATAGAGGAGATGGCAATGAAGAAAGCATCGACCATTGAAGTGAAATGGACAAATTCACTGATCCCAAATTCACATCCACAGCTGTGATCAATTGTTAGTGATAATAATCTGCTGGATTGGGCTGGTCAAGAGATTCATCTGGTCACCATTCAAGTGCAATTCTTGTCAATTGTCAGTCTATTGCACGTATTGCTGCAAAGGATTTGCTCCCAACTTCCAAACTACGATTAAGGTAAATCAACTTCAAAAGTGGGGGGAAAAGATAGAAAGTTGGTATAGATAGAAAATAGTAAAATAAAACTAGATAAAGAGAATATTGAGGGGAAGAAAAACATTGACAGGGGTGAGTGCAGATAATGTTGTTTCAAATTATTTGGGTTGGTATATTCAATAAAGCTGTCCTGTTTGACTAGCTAAATGTTGCTATTTTGCACAGTACTGGTAGTGTATTTTTCTCTGGTGAAAATAAGGCAGTGAACGGGTGTAAAATCATACAAAACAGATGCAAAGTTTGAGTTAAAGGAGAGGAGGCAACCATTTGGATTAGTTGGTCCATTTCCAATTCATTTTATTGGTGAGAATACAACAAACGTGTTTATTTTTAATAACTGGATAGCCCGAGGCAGCTCAAATTGCTGTGTTTGTACACTGTCAGAATAAAATGTTCAATATCATTTAGTTACATTTCAGTCCCCAGCGTTAAATCAGATTCAGATGCTGTTAAGAGTTCGCTTTGATTACTTGGGAGGTAAACAAGCCAATGTGTTGTTACTATTGATGAATGTGGTACCCTGCAACAGTAAGTTAGAAAGATCTTTCAGACACTAGATTAATCAAATACATCTTATCACGCCAAAAGTTAACTTTCCTGCTTCTCATTGGAACTTTAAGAAAGTCCCATTGGAGAAGTATGGTCTAGTATGTTTTTTTAAATACAATGTTCTTTACCCAGGCTTGAATAAATCACCCTTAAAGAAAACCTGATGTCAGTCTCTACCCCAAACCTTGTATTTTTAATGCTATGCAGTGAGCATTTCGAGAAAAAACATGTTATTTCAAAGCAGCCTTTGGAGCTCATTGGGAGTTAAGTGCATTCAATTGACGATTGCACCTCCATTAATTGGTGGTGTACCCACTATTCCAATGGAAATGCTTATGATTTGTATCAGGCCAAATCAGATTCAGGTGTGGCTATTTTCTACTTCACAGTTGATCACCATTGATTGGTATTATACAAAGAAATGTGTGAACACTCAACAGTTGGCATGAACTGAAATTATTCCTTTGCAAGTTTTAATCTCAAAAGTTATTTCATGAAGCTTTGATCATTATAAATTGAGTGAAGATACCTTCAGTTTGATCTAATTTAAGGACTGGCAGAGAAGCTTGAAGTAAAAACAGTGTGTTTACAGCATTCTGTAATTCTTTTAATTTGCTGGCAGAAAGTGTGGGGTGGGGGGAATAAACATAAAATACTGGCCTGTGGCTCAGGTAGGGAACCATTATATAAAAACAGCAGGGTCTCTTAGATGCGTATATTGAATGAAAACATCTGCTGGTTTACCTTTCAGAAAGAAAATACATTTGTTAGCACTGGGCGGGGGTGTGGGGGTGGTGTGTGCAAATTGTTGCTTCACAACTTTAAAAAAGCCAGTATGAAGTGCAGAGAATATCCAGCATCTGGCCAGTAGGTATAAGATTGCAATGACTATTTACTGGTAAAACATCATTGTTGCCAGATACTCTTAAATTCTCTTTTTTTCCTTTCTCTAAATATGATCCCCACTTGAGTGTTTTTATTTTTTTTGCCACGTTCAACAGCGAATCAGCAATGAATCCAAACATTTTTTTTTAATTTTGTTTTTCCAGCAAAAAAAGCATTAAGCTACCAATGTTAAAATATTCAGAATACAATAACTGTTACATTAAAGGAAATAACTGCAGTCATAAACTGTACCTGATTCAAATGTTAATTTTTTACTCAGTTGAGGACTGTTGTACATCGTTTAGTTAAACACCTCACAAGATACTGAGACGTGACTGGTTTTGTCTCATCCCTCATCTCTGTGCCATCCACATTCTTTTCTTTTTTCTTTCTCCCCCTCTCATCCCTGGGCCTGACTTGTGTGATCTCCTCGCAGTTACTTTGAAAAGCTTTAAAATCTAAATATAATGGTAGCTGGAATTGTGGTAAGACAGAAGACTTATTTCTGATGCGTACTAGAAACACTTGAGCAACCAAAACCGAGAAGCAAATGTTCAAGCTGGGATGTTAGTTAATTCATGACGCTTGTGGCTTCAGGGACTGAATGAGACGGGAGTGTCAGTGATGAGCAGCTCTACAATCTGCTTGCTCATCACAATAAGTGCCCTCACTCTTGGGGACAGAGGTTCTTGAGCTCTGAATGTTGTCACATGAGGGAAGCACACAACCGAGAGACTGTGAAGAACAGCCATGTTTGTGCACACGGTGTAGCAGAGAAAGCGAGACCGAAACAGCCGTGTAGCCCAGTGTAGCTGTTGCAATTTCAGTTCAAATAACAGCTACAAGTCGCACACACAAAAAAAATGTCCATGGCACTTTAAACCATTTCACTGATAATGTTGCAATGGAGTAAATATGTAGATTATGTGTAGGCTCAAAGCTAGCTCTCATGTAGCCCTTTGTAGTACTGGGACTCTGATCATTTCTTTCAAAGTTATGATGTTCTACAGAAACTGAAAATTTTAATAAGGTGACCTTTTCATTCAGCTAGTGTTCGAACATTGTGCTGAGTAAGTCCTGTTCAATAAAACAGTTATTAATGGAGATGGATATCTGATCTAATCTCCACTTGTGCATGCACCATCTGCCACCACTTCCCATGTTTGAACATCATGAAGAAACATATTTAAAATACAGTAGCTCTTACTGTTAATAATTCCTCTTGCAAATAAAGGATCTTCTTTGCATGTGTACAGAACTTCGGGCTTTCTATTACCTGAGTAAGGTTTAATTGTTGGAAAGGGACCTTGAATGAATCCCATTTGGGCAGCTTAGTAGGGTGAAGGGGTCATTCAGTGGCAAAATTTAGGAACAAATGAATATTTTACATGCCCAAATGTGAAACTCTATAGTTATTTACATATGAAGCAAACTGCCCTAACATCTGACGGATGTATGTACAAGATCCTCGCTCCAAGTCACCAGTTGTTATTCTATAGGGAAGTATATTTTCTGTGAAATCATTGATGGCTTTTGTTCACAGTGCTGGTGCATGAAGTCCTTTGTCACAAACCAACAAGATGAGCATCGCCTCCACAAATAGAACCTCCCTGTTCTTTCAGCAGATCCGGCAGTGCAAACTATATCACAAAAAACCCCCACCAGGTCCTGCAGTGTGAAATGTTATTGAAACATGAGCCTCTTCTGTGATATTCATTTAAAATTCCTGCAACAATTTTGTCCCCTCCCTCGAAGCAAGGACTGGAATTTTTCCAGATTTTACTTCTCTTTGAGTGAGAAAGAGTGAAACTTTGCTGTTTCTCCAGCTGTACACACATCCATAAATCATTAATAAGGCAGTTAACTGAAGCAAAAATATAAATGATCTACATTACCCAACAGCACACTATCTTAATTTACTTCCAGTTATTTACAATTCATTTCTCCATTTAAAGTGATGATTACATTGGAACATGTTTCTTTTCTGACCGGATGCAGACAGAAGCCATTTACCACAGTGCAGCATTAAGTATTTAAGTTGCTTGTGTACATTTTAACAATGCCTGCAGGTGATATGCAGTGAGTTTGTGGTATTTTTATTTCACTACAAAGCTATAAACTTAATAATTAACATCAGCACCATTTTTTACTGTCAATCCAATCTGAACAGCAGGGGATAACGTTTTGGGAACAATTTTGCAAGGACAAAAGACAAACTGAAATTTCTATTAACATCATAGTTTACTATTTAACATTCCTGTTCCTTTTTGCTCAGTATTTGAGCTTTCAACTAAATAGTTTAAATGAGAGCATGGTAGAGAATACAAGCAACTAGCCATTAAAAAGTTTCAATTCCCAACATTCTACTGCATATATTTTACTTTTTTTCCCCCCAATACTTGAGCTGAGTGTAAAAGATGTTAATGATAAATCCATCCTTTTCTTGTAGATGGCTCACAAAACTGAAGGAGGTTGTCTTTCTGCAAAGCATTTCGGTTATTTTTTTTCATCCTCCTCTTTGCTTTTAAAAGGTCCTTAAAGTAGACCGGCTTGTACAGAGAAAGTTTTATTATTAATTTACAATGAACATATATTGTTTGCAGAATTCCTTCGGCCATTACAAAGTGTTCCTTAGTTGTCTTCTTGAGAGCCGATTGAAAGTCACCGGCCTTAGATCAACCGTGTTGTGCTGTAAATTCACTGTAAGTCTGTAGTTTCAGTCTGCAATCTGAATTGGCCCTTCACGTGGGTTTTGAAATAGCATGACACACTTTTTCCTTGACCAACCGAGCATGTTTCTTGCAATATTCATGGTCTGATGCAGCAAACTTGTTATAAAAACATTACCATGTTTCTTTGCTACATTTTGGCAATATTACCTACAGCCCAGGTGAGGCTGCAGCATCGATCCATCACATTGGGAGTAGATCAGAAATTATTTTCTTTTTTTTCCTTGTAAGTTAGCAGTACTGGAGGTAAAGCAGGCAACTGAGGCTGCTTCATAGGGAAGTGGCTTCAAGTACATACTGTACCTAGTCCTGGTTTCACTGGAGTGTGGAAGTATTTTCAGTACATGGCTCAGGTCAGTAGAAATAGCCTCTTCTCAGTACATGATAGATGTCTTCATGTATGGTCTATCTGTAAAAGAGTAGAAACAGTTGAAATGCTTTTTGTAAAAATAATCACCCAGAACGTAAGATACTATTTTAAGTCTGAAGTTCAAAAAGAAAATAAGATACAAACAAGAATGAGAAAACAACATTCAAATCTTGTTTTGAAGATAGTACTTTTGAGTCACTATTAGCTGTGTTGGGTGGTGGTGTAATCCCCTTCAAACATTCGGCATCCACACAGGAAAATCGTCAGCACCTATTAGGATTTGTGCATTTTCAAGGGTTTGACCCTTAAATTTAGAATACGGGAAGGAAACTAAAAACATGTTATTTCACCAACTAACTATTCCTGGCAAACAAGCATTCTCTGTACTTTACTCTATTTTGTGTTTCCATTTTGTTCGGAGTCCTAGTTTCCTGCAGAAACCTTCTCTGCACTCACTGATGCCGTTTTCAATTTTCAGTGACTCCCAATGTATTTTTATAGCAAGATGCCTCTTTATCCTTCAGACAGAATACTTGCTAAGACACACTCGGCTATGCAGCTGGACTAGAAGAAAGGCCGACAGCAAGCAGATTTGTCAGTAACCAGATGGGTCACGATACATGTTTTTAATATAAATGTATTATTTGTAATATAAGATGACTTTCATCAGATCTCCAGCTTGTATCTTGCTTGTGCTCCACATATTCAGTATCTTTTTCACACACATTCAGTGTCGGCATGCTTTTTTTTCCAATATGTTTTCTGCAAGATGGGATTTTTGTTTTTACCCTGTCCACAGAACATACCGGAAACACCTAACTCTGCACTAAAGACATGGGGTGAGAATCTCCTTTTGCCATAAATTGTAGTTACTTTGACGATGTGTATTTATAAAGTGTATTTTGTTTTTTTAAAAAAAAGTAAGATCATTTTCTCTCACTCGACAGAATGGTGACCTTAATCATTTTGATGCAAATAAAATTGATTTAAGTTTGTTTTTTCCAACATCTCTTTGCTTCTATGTGCATCTTTTATAATCTATTTGTGCAGCATTCCTCTAGAATCTCGTCATGTTAGTAGCCTGCAAATGAAAGAATGTGCACCTTTTATTTATAGACGCCTCCCTTCTATGCTGAGTGCCAGATTTCTTTTGTACAATTTGATGTTGTAAAGTTTCAGTGAGTCATTAACACCATCTTTCAACACAACATTTGAAAGTAAGTAAAACCTTGCCACATAGACAAAGCGCGCTGGTGATTCATTTGTAATTCTGAAGCCACTTGCTTGGTTCATTAAGAACAGGAAAGTGCTAATTAGGAGTTGAGTGCTTAAGTTTAAGTAGGTTAGTGGTTTAGAGCCCAAAAAGATGATCTAATGTGAATGGACAGGAAGGATGTAAACAAGAATAGCAGTTGGGAATGGGAATTCTCCAGAGTATGAAGGAGCTTGGGAATTTTATAGTGAGACCTATTCACTATCTTTGGACTGGAAAACTATATTGACACTCTATATGGACAAAAAACAGTCCTCGTGACTTTATCTGTGATACGCACAAGAATATCTTGTATCTTGATACACATAAGAATGTGTGTGAACTCTTACCTTGTGAATATTGTATTATCTTAGATTTATCTTTGGCTTAGAATCTTTACTTGAATAAACCTTGATTTCCTTGAATAAACCTCGATTCCCTTGAGGTGAACAGGAAAATAGTTTAAACGTAAACCCACATCTGGAAACTTACTGCTATTCTTCCACCTACAGTCGGCCATCCACGCACCACCCACCTACTACAAAAAAACTTGTAAAATTACCACTGGAAAATACTGTTAAAGATGTTGATCTTGCACTTCTGGGCACAGGTTGAAACTAGAGCAGATGCTAAATCTCTATCCATTTAAGCTGCAAGTGTGAAGAGCCTTGACCATTTAGGTTATGAAATGCAATGGGACTTATATTTTCTCATCCCTTTCATAAAAGCCACTCAATTGTAATTTTCTGATTTTGGGATAGTTCGCTTTATAAAAAAAATCTATTAATTGTTTTGGCATCTTCAGACTATTTTTAAGGTTTTTTTGAGAAATAAAAAGTACTGACTGCAAACCTCTGGAAATTTCCACCATTAACCATAAAAGCATCTGAAGACTCAAATCAGGTAACAACTCTTGTGCTGTGTACTAAATGCTTTAATTGATTAAAATAGCTAATGCAACATTCTGACAGTTCAGCTGTATTGCTGCTGACTCCACAAGCAGAAGAAAAGAAATCTCCAGAGATAAACAGAATGGAAAAGCAGGAGTCCACTCAGCACAGTTCAGAAAAAGACGTAACTACAGCTAATGCATTCAGACAATTGCAGGAGATTTCGTAAAGTTTTTTGGGAACAAAAGGAGCATTGTCCAAAATTTCCCACAATTGTTTGGAAGCAAGGATGCTACCAAATAAGGCTAAATATCCTTAACATTGTGATATTTTGCATTAACTACATTGCCAACCATGATATAATGAGCATTTGCAATATGTTTAACTCATCATCATTCATCACTGCAACTCTCTAAGTGGCTTGATTCTATCAATTTTACCCCAGCATTGAAGTTTACAGATAATTGTAGGTTTTTTTCTGTGTAATTTGTGCTGGTAAGTATCAATATTTTTATCTAGAGAGTAATCGACTATCTCACTCATGCTCTGGTGGGGAATGCATCTTATCTATTTGATTAAATATATGTCAGCGCTTTTGGTTGAATTGTAGATTTTTTTTTCTTCTGGAAAAAGTACCATCTGTTGTAGCCTGATTTCACGAGGCTGGCATTGGTAACCATCCACCCCTATCAAGCCTGTAGGAAATCATAGCCCACTCGATTACTTTGAATACAAAAGTACAACATATGTGGTACAGCAGAAAGCCTGTTACCCCTAGCTAGGTGATACTGCTCTTTTAACAATCAGACCTCTGATATATACAATAAACTACAACAACTTGCATTTATATAGCACCCTTCGTGCAAGGTAAAGTCTCGGAGCGCTTAGCAGTGGTGGAGCCTGATGCTGAGCCAGAGGGAGGGAGTGGATGACTGTAAGCACTGCAAAGAGCAAGGTCTTCATGCATGATCTGAAAAAGGGGAAGGAGGGGGCAAGGCGCAGGGATTGAGGTAGAGAGATTTCTAAAGTTTCAGGACAAAGTGGCTGAAAGTACAGCTGCCTATGATGGAGTTGAGGGTTCAAGGGAGAAGCAGGAGAGTGGATCAAGCAGAGCGGAGGCAGCAGGTGGTGGAGTGGGGAGTTAGCAGGGTGGAGAGGTAGGGAGGTGCCAGGGCATAAGGGGATTTGTTGATTAGTTTTGAGGATTTTGAAGTCTAACTGTTCTGTGACAGGGAGCCACCAAAGCCTGGCGAGGACAGGTGTGATTGGGGTATGGAGTTTAGAGGGGGTGAGTATACGAGTGGTGGAGTTCTGGATAAGCTGGATTTTATGGATAGTGGAGTTGGGGAGACAGGCGTGGAGGGCATTGGAATAATCAAGGCGGGAGGAGACAAAGTGTGGAGGAGGGTCTTGGTTACATTGGGTGTGAGGTACAGTTGATAGATCCATATTGGACAATTTACTTTCGTTGGCCTGTCTATCATTCCCATTGCCGCTAGCATTTCAATTGCCCAAAGCCTCATTTTCATCACTTTATATAAAACCTTGACATAATAGAACTTTGCGGTGATTGTCTTAGAAGCATTTTTCTTTTGATCATTCATTATATTTTAACTTTTAGAAATTATAAACTTCTCAAGCACTCAGATTTGCAGTGACGAGACTGCACAGTCACAATAGGGTGAAACTGTGATTGAGAAAGATATTCGAACTCATATTTCACATGTGAATTTGTAAAGGATGTTGTGGCTAAAATTATGACTCTAAAATCTTGTTATTTATGCTTTGTACTACTGATGTACTTGACTGCAAGAGATTGAGATACCAAAGATGTAGTATTGAAGTATTGTCGAACCAGGATATATCCCAAATGAGTTGTTTTTTTGATGAGGTTTATTGGTATACCCAAGACAGTAACTTTATCGTTCTCTGCTATTACTGCTATTGTTTACACAAGGATGTAATCTACATGTTAATTATCCAAATGTATCTGAACTGTCCAGTCCCATACTCGTGTGGTAAAAGACATAGCATGATGGGACAGCAAGAAAGCAGTGAGTAGAAGTGGTCTCATTTAGAACGAATCAATGAGTGTAAGCATTTTGCATGTTAACTGACGTGGATATTTTTGAACCGAGATTGAAGCTATTTAAAGGATAAATTGCCTGTGTCAGTCAATTCCATTCATTCCGTGACCAATTGTGCATAATGCAGCAATGGTAATTATACTGGGATCAATTTCTTTATTTCTGAACATACTGTAGTAGTTTTCTTCAGTCTGAAACCTTTTGTTATCACGATCCAGGATGAAGCTCATGGAATAGTGGGAAATTGTGATGATCTAACTCAGGCCTGCTGTACATCTCTTTCTCACCCCCACCCCTGCCACCCACCAAACCATTTGCGAGCAAGCTTTCAGCCACTTTACCACGTCCTGGAAACCCCTCCCGATCAAAAAAAAAACTCTTGTTTTCAAACCCCTTGTTTTTATGAAGAAAAGGTTCCCTCTTTTAACCGTGCCTTTGGTCATACCCTCTCCCCCCCCACCCAAACACACACGTGCACACACACACACACACACACACAGTTTTACACACACGCACTTCTACCCACACCACCATCTCCCACCCCAGTTGAGGTTTCACTCCATCTTGGTACTTTGAGACATTATCCTGCATGAAAGATGCTGGATAAATCCACGATGTTGATGTTGTACCATCTTGTCTGTCTTTTATTGGACGTTTACCAACTCAATCAAATTCCAATTTTAATTTGTTTTGTTTTTATGCTAAACTGTTGAGTATTATTGTTGCCAAATATGTTTAATGAGGTTGTATGAATTGTGGTTTAAGGGGTCATTTAATATTTGGTTGGTTCTGATTGGGGAAAAAAGACTG